GAACCCGTGTCCCCTGCATCGGCAGGCGGACTCTCAACCACTGCGCCACCAGGGAAGCCCTGTGGTGGTTATTCTTATTAGCCACGTGCACAGTTTCTCCTCTCCAGCATCATGGCATGTCTCGGGAAAGCCAGAGACAGGTCAGGAGTCCAGCTTGTTGGCTTTCAGAATCTCTGAGGCCTGAGCAGTGATGAGGGAATGTGTGTTCTCTGTGTCTGCTGGGAGCCAGCTCCGGAATCCCTGCCTGGGAGTTCTTGGTAAATGATGCAGGAGGCCGGGTGTACGCTGTTAATTCTCTTTGAAGCAAGTCACGCGTCTTCCTGCCGCAGCGTCTGCATTGATGGGGCCGTGGTCTTTCTGATCACCCAGGCACTCGTTCCCATGCCTGGTGACTCACCATCCAGGTTTGTATTGCTGCGTGTCCCTGCGCTGTCTCCTGAGCATCAGTGTGCTTGCCAGTGAGTTACTCACCAAGGCTGAATAGCAAACAGGTCCAGGCAAGTGAGTTTTAAGATTCCCTGTGGGCACCTTCAACTGTGATGTTTACTGGCGGCCGTTTTTGGCTTGCAGAAGAATGGCGCAGGGAAGACGTTTGGTCCTGGCCCTGACTCCCGGCTGGGGGGGCACATCTGTTTCTCCAGCTGGGATTTGGCTCATTGCAACTTAAAGTTGAGGCCTGAGGATAGATAGTGGGATGACCAGAGGTAGCCCCCGGGCCTTTGGGCAAACTGCTGTGTGCAGCACGGGGCTCCTTTTTGTATCAGCTCCTCGTTAATGCTCCGTCTCTCCTTTCTCAACCCTGGCGCCACCCCCAGGAACGTGCTCAGGTTTGGTTTCCAGTGTGGTAACAAGTGGTGTGTGTCCCCCTCTCCCGCCACAGTGTGTCCCTGGTCTTGACGCCTCGTGGTTGCGTGTAGTGTGGCAGCCCTTGTCCCGTAGCATCTGACCCCGTGACCTGACGTCCTGTCCTCGTGGCGTCTGGCCATACCCCGCGGGCCAGGGTGGCCCTCCGCCTGTTTACTAACCGCTCTGTGTCTCTGGCTTTTAGGAGCGCCCCCGGCCTGAGCATGAAGCCAAAGTTCGGGAGAAGATGCTGAGGGAGAGCGACAAGTCTCTGGTCCAGAAATTGGGAACCGGTGGGACTGAGGATGCGGTAAGATGCTGGCACCTGGTGCTTGCTTTCCTTTTTTTTTTTTTCTTAAGATCCTATTGTCATTTCACTGGGAATGCCTTCGCGGATGGAGACTGGGCTGTGAGAAGGGCCGACAGCGGTGGGACAGGGCGGAAAGAGAGCATGACGTCTCTCCGTGTCCCGTGGGCAGAGGTTGTGGGGAGCAGGCCCCTCCCATGACTTGATTTCTCTCTCCTTCCCGGGTGGTAATGTCTGGATGAAATGGGAGAGCAGGTCGGGAAAGAAAGAAACCGTTTCAGACCTGGGTCCTCTGGGCTCTTGTCACCTCCACGTCGCATAGCAGTAGCAACGACCACCAGACCAACCAGCGCAATGACAGCGAACCTTTATTCAGTCCCTGCTGTGGGCCAGGCACCGTTCTCAGCGCGCTGTATCGTTTCACTCTCGAAATAAATTGATGAGCCTGGAGCAATTTTCCTGTAAATGAAAACTAATGAAGAAAGGTATGTCCGCAGCTTAAGTCGTTGGCCAGAGGTCACCCAGACAGTGAATGGTGGGTGGATCTGGGATTCCAACCCAGGTGAGTCTCTGACAGTCTGGGCATCTAACTGCTATGCAAGGATACATCGAGAAATGGCCCTTAGGGCTGGCAGAGGCATACCCATGCCTGTATGTGCCTGAGCTGCTCGTACACTCTTCCTCACATTTCATTTTCTCTGGATGGGCCTCCAAAGTACGGAGGTGATTGTGAGTCGTATTTCTGAGTTTTATGGTGGCATTCAGACATGGAAACAGAGCTTCAGGATCTGTGCTGTGATCTGTAAATACTCGCAGTGCCTGTGAGGTGGGGGGCTCCTCTTTGGCACCGCCGGTCTCCTCTGAGTGCCACCCTTTTTTGAAACCAAGAGTGTGTGTGTGTGTGTGTGTGTGTGTGTGTGTTGATGTCTTTCCTAATCTGGTTCCTGAAAAAATTCAACGAGATCGACAATCTGTTGTTTTTACACGTGTCTTTTCTCCATCTTGGATTCGAATTAAAATTTCATTTAATTTTACATTCTTTAAGTTGGAGCCATTCATGTTAACATGCAAATTTATTCAAGCACCAATACGGAGAATGTGGTGTTTTTAAGCCCAGAATACTAGCTGTCTCTCTTTCTTTCTTTCTGTCTTTTTTTTTTTTCCTTTAAGAAAGCAGGACTTAGAAGAGAAAGGGGGTGGCTGTCTAAGTTATTATTTCCCTAGAAAAAAGTAAGCCCAAGACCGCCAATTATTTGAGGAAAAAAAATGAATTCATTCTTAGGAAAGAGTAACCATCACCGTCACCCTCATCAGAAAGCAAACATATCGTGTCCTGTCGGGTTTGGCAACCCCACGCAACCTTCTTTCTCCACCCCAGGGCAATACACAATGGATACTTTTATGGAAATCACATGTGACTTTTAATGACCACTGCCTCAGTTAATTTTAATTCCATAGACGGGAATGCCGAGGAGCTGGAATTGCGTACACTGAGGCTGTGGTTCTGATATAAACACTGCTTGGATATATTATATGCACGATAGGTCAGATAACTTTCAGGGACCATGAATAATTGAAAAACATCTGAATGCGTTGTGAATGATACATATGTTTACGTGTTAGCATTCAACATCTATTTTCATTACACTGTGGAGAATGTAAAGCTCAAAGCATCTAATGCCTTACAGGCGCTGGGGGGAAAATGACCTTCCCAAATGAGCAGCGTAGGTTAAAAATGGCCTGGAATTTGATTGTCAGCGTCCTTCTTGTGTTCCCTCCATTCTGTTAATACTGGAAATGCTTGTGTTCTTGCTGTAAATCTAGCCAAGGGTGGGAGATGAAGGGAGGAGCACATGTTGCTGTCTGATGGGAGGGATGCTTCTCTTGCCTACTGGAAGAGTTGAGGTCAACGCCCATGGCAAGACAGGGCTCTAGGGTGGGATATTTAGGAAAGACACATTCTTCCGGGAAACAGACAAGGACCAAGAATCAAAGTCTAGATGACAGTCTTGGATGTGCTTCTTTCATCCCAGAGGCTCACTTTGGTTCTGCCTTCTTTGTAACCCTGAGGCTTCATGTCCCATCTCTCTTTATATTCCTTCCTCTTGAATGATAAAAGCTACCATTTATCGAGGCCCAGATGGTAGAGAAAATTACCAAAGACCACATAGCTAGTGGTGGGAGAGCCAGCAGTCATACGCAGCTCCACCTCATCCCCAAGGCCCATTGCTTCTCAAAAAAATTATTTTAAAGGTATCAAGTTCATGTTTTTTTTTTTATTTACTTATTTTTAAAATTTTTTAATGTTTTTTGCGGTACGCGGGCCTCTCACTGTTATGGCCTCTCCCGTTGTGGAGCACAGGCTCCGGACACGCAGGCTCAGCGGCCATGGCTCACGGGCCCAGCCGCTCCGCGGCATGTGGGATCCTCCCGGACCGGGGCTCGAACCCGTGTCCCCTGCATCGGCAGGCGGACTCTCAACCACTGCGCCACCAGGGAAGCCCATCAAGTTCATTTTATAAAACTTCTTTGTAAGTGATTTAATTCTCAGACCATAACATTCACCCATTTAAATGATACAATTCGATGGTTTTTAGTATATTCACAGTTTTGTGCTGTCATTCCCACAATCTAAGTTTAAAATATTTTTTATCATCTTAGAAAGAAACTCTATACCCTGGGAGGCAAGTAATCTATTAATACGTTCTGTTTCAATAGGTTTGCCTCTTCTGGACTTCCGTGTAAATGAAATCATGCAAAATGTCGTATTTCTCCTCTTTCACTTAGCAAAATGTTTTCATGATTCATCCATGTTGTAGCTCTGTCTGATCTTCATTCTTTTTTATTGCCAAATAATATTCCATATTTTGGATACACCCAATTTTATTTGTACGTTCATCAGTTGATGGACAGTTGGATGGCTTTCACTTTTCGGCTATTATGAACAATGCTGCTGTGAACGTTTGTGTACCGGGTTTTGGGTGCATGTATGTTTTCACATCTTTTGGAAATATACATAAGAGTAGAATTACTGGGTCATACGGAAACTCTGTGTTTAACATTTTGAAGGACTGCTGTAATATTTTTCAAAGGGGCTTCACCATTTTGCGTGCCAACCAGCACTGCATGAGGGCTCATAATTTCTCCACATCCTCACCAACACTTGTTATCTGTCTTTTTTATTTTATCCATCCTTGTTGCGTGCAGTGGTATTTCATTGGGGTTTGAATTAGCATTTCCCTAAAGGATGTTGAACATCCTTTCGTGTGCTTGTTGGCAGATTTTATGGCTTCTTTGGAAAAATGTCTATTCAAATCCTTTGCTCTTTTTTTTTTTTTTTTTTTTTTGCGGTACACGGGCCTCTCACTGCTGCGGCCTCTCCCCTTGTGGAGCACAGGCTCCGGACGCGCAGGCTCAGCGGCCGTGGCTCACGGGCCCAGCCGCTCCGCGCGCATGTGGGATCCTCCCGCATCGGCAGGCGGACTCTCAACCACTGCGCCACCAGGGAAGCCCCCACAAAAGTTTTTTGATGTAGTTCAATTTATCTGTTTTTCCTGTTGTCATTTGTGCTTTTGTGTCATATCTAAGAAACTACTGCCTAATCCAGTGTCATAGAGATATACCGTCAGGGTTTCTTCTAAGAATTTTACAATGTTAGCTCTTACATTTAGGTCTATGATCCATTTTGAGTTAATTTTTGTGTATGATATAAGTAAGAGGTCCAAATTCATCTTTTGTCTGAATATTTAGTTCTTCCAGCCCCATTTGTTGAAAAGATTATTTTCTCCACTGAATTATCTTGTCAGCCTCATCAAAAATCAATTCACCATAAATGTAAGAGTTCATTTCTGGGCACTCAATTCTATTCCATTAATCTATATGTCTGGCCAATACCACATTGTCTTGATTAATTACTGCACCTGTGTAGTAAGTTTTGCAATTGGAATGTGACTGAATTTGTGCTTCTTTTCCAAAATTGTTTTGACAATTCTGGGTGTCTCGCATTTCCATATGAATTTTATGACCAGCTTGTCAATTTCTGCAAACAAAGCAAGATGGAATTGTTGATAGGGATTGAGCTGAATCTGTAGATTAATTCAGGCAGTAGCACCTTCGTAACAGTGGTAAGTCTTCTAATCTATGAACATGTTATATCTTTCCATTCTTTAGATCTTCTTTAATTTCTTTCAAAAATGTTTTATAGTTTCAGAGTACAGGTCTTGCACATCTTTTGTTAAATTTGTTCGTAATTGTTTTATTCTTTTCCGTGGGATTGCAAATATAATTGTTTTCTTAATTCCACTTTTGGATTGTTCATTGCTAGTATATAGAAATATAGTTGATTTTTGTGTGTTGATTTTATATCCCACAGCTTTGCTGGACTCATTTATTAATTTTGGTAGTCTTTAGTGGATTCTTTAGGGTTTTTTCTATTTATAAGATCATGTCATCTTGAAGAGAGATAGCTTCACTTCTTCGTTTCCCAGCCTGGTTACATTTTTCTCTCTCTCTCTCCATCCTCCGCCCCTTCCCCCTTTTCTTCCCAGGTGCCCTGACTAGAATCTCTTGTACAATGTTGAATAGAAGTGATGAGAATTGACTTCCTTGCCTTGTTCTTGGTCTTAGCCTTTCACCATTAATTATGATGTTAGCTAGCTGCGACCTATCGCTCTTTAACTCTCTCTGTAAGGCTCCCCTAAGGAGAATTCACGTCATATCACCAGGTGGCCAAGCCCATCTCAGGTCTCTCCCGTTTCAGCTGTCACGTGGGGAGATTGGATTGTAGCCTCTGCAGTTCTGAGAGTCGGTACTTTTCTTTGCTGATGTGAAGGAATCATGTTGGTCATTAGCCCATAACTTCGGGAGACAGGCAGTCTCTTATTTATTTTAGGTGGTGGTAATTTGGCCATTTTAATATCTACTGTTATGATTTTCAAGGGTGTGGGCCCAGAGAGGTTAGTAAAATAGTGAGGTTAGAAGTAATATTTATGGAGTGCTCATTC